GAACTAATCTAGCAACTAATTTAGCAAGTAAAAAATAGATAATATGAACAATAATATTTATTTTACACAGAGGTTATTTTTTTATTTATATTTATTATGAATTATTTATATTATATTCATAACTATATGAAGAATTGCCAAATATAGTCAAGGTTTATTCCAATAAAAATGTTGGGGTGGGGCATAATGTAATTATATATAAAATTCTAATTACATTTATTTCTCTCGGACAGATTGTGCGGTATACTATCTGCCTTGCAACACAATCATTTGACTAAAATTTGACTGACAATAATCTTCACAAATTAACTTTGATCATCGATTTATATTGTATTATTTCATATAATTAAATCACTATCTTAAAAATGATCCTCCACGATATTGTTCCTTCGTTGTTAAAATAATCGCAAAATTCATCCTCAATTGCCATGCACCTGTGAGTACTCGTGTTTGAGTTACATTTGTACGAAGGTCGTTTGAAAAGTCCGTGCAAAGTCACTGCTGATGGCACTACTGGCGCGTATCAAGGTTAGATTTAGTTAGTAGCATCTCTTGGAGGAACACACCAAGTTACAGCCAGATCGGTCTATTTGTTTGTGTTTGGCATTCATTTGAATCGAGGAAGTCGAGGGGGGTTTGTTTCTGCAATCACGTCCTCGTTTCCATAAAATCTTTTTCCCGCCAGCCATTTCTTCATATTGGGGAACAAATAGTAGTCCGAGGGAGCCAAGTCTGGAGAATAGGGGGGATGTGAGACGAGTTGGAACCCTAATTCCATTAATTTTGCGACCACAACTGCTGAGGTGTGAGCTGGTGCGTTATTGAAAATCACTCGACTTCCTCGATTCAAATGAATGCCAAACACAAACAAATAGACCGATCTGGCTGTAACTTGGTGTGTGTTCCTCCAAGAGATGCTACTAACTAAATCTAACCTTGATACGCGCCAGTAGTGCCATCAGCAGTGACTTTGCACGGACTTTTCAAACGACCCTCGTAAGTGCACATCTATCTTCTATTATTCTTTGCCAAGAGCCATACCTGAACCTGTTTGAACTAAACCTGCGTGCAAATATGTAATATTGTTTGCATCGCTTTTTCGCAGCTAATTGTGTAAGCAAACTGTTGCTTTTGAATCATTAACATCACGTTTTCTGGATTAGCAATTATCGGTTTTCGATGTGTTCGCCACGGACTTGCTAAAGTATTGAAAGTATTCTCAATCATCCTCCAGACACGACTTAAGCGATGATTATACACAACTTGCTCTGGTGTACGTCCATTCTTGCCTAGATAAGGGCGATGCAGGTATGACTTGAGAAGGAGAGCCTTCGTCTCCAACAAGGCAGTACGATAATATTCGCTCTTCTTCAATTGTTACTGGTTTTGACATTCATATGCTGCGCATCGAATTTCTGATCAATTGTGGCTTGAAAAATGCCATTATCGCTTTATCATCCGTAGGCTTTATCCCTGATGTCCACATAATGAAATATTATATTGTGTATCACATATCGCCGTTAATATGTTACTACATTGCGAGCATCTTTGTAGTTGTAGTAACTTGCGGCGTATACTGTTCAACGACACTCCATTTACCATTTAATTCCAGTGCTACTGGATAGCACCATATTTTGATTTAAAAATAAAAAAAAGCGATTTGTAAATTAAACACTTTATCTAACTAATTTCCATAAAATGTTTTAATATTGCAATTATACAGGATATCCTAAAACTGACGATAAATATTTAAAGATAGATTCTTTTAAGACGAAAAGTCTAATACGAAAATATCAAGGATGTGATTTTCAAATCGGAAGAGTTTAAAAATTACGAATGACAGGTCTAAAATTTCGCGCGCTCGTGAATGGCAAGCTAGTCAGTGTGAAGGTGCTGAATTTTTGTTATTGTCGCGAAGCCAGTGAAGTTCAAGAAACACTTTAACACTGACCATCTTGTCGTCCCTAAGAATGTGAAATTCTAGGCCTGTCATTCGTAATATTTAAACTCTTCCCATTTAACATTTTGAGTGCCACGTCTTTCAATTCCGGGAGATGCATAACTTTCCGCAGGGATCTGTCTCCCATTCTCAAAAGACAATTTTATTTATTCAAATAGGAATAATATTTTATTGGAGTCCCGTAGGAAATATATTCAAAATATCTTTAGCGCACAAAGTGTTAAAAACTATCATAGCCTAACATTTTGGTATTAGATCTTTTCATCTTAAAATATTATAAAGAAACTGTTTATAAAATATTTATCGTCAATTTTGGGACACTCTGTATATGTATATATACACAACGTGTATTAATTAGAAAGCCAGATATATATGTAACTAGAAACATTTTTTTAATTAGATTTTTTAATATAAAAGTGTGATGGGTACAGTCTTAAATTATTATTTTTATTTCATGCCTTACTTTCTTATTTCAGACTTACATAGCGACTAGATTGTGATATTAGGGTATATAATTACAAATTTTTATTACAGAATAATTACATTTTTATTACATGTTTTATTTTACATTTCGATTGTCTCTCAAACTATTTATTATTTTAAAAAATGTTTCAAGTGAAATTTATTTTCTTTCGAGGGGGATATTTTTTGATAGTCACAAGTAGTTTCTAGATGGACATGCCAAAATTTTGATGTGTTTATTTTTGTTTATTTTTGAATTGTATAATTATATAATAAATGCAATTAAATAGTTTTATTTACGTAATACGATTTCTCTAATTATTTTTCGTATAAAAGTATTAAAGTAGAGATATCAAAAAATCAATAACTCGCGAGAGATATTTTATGCTTTATTCTGGCACCATTTTAGCATACATTAAATATTCCATAAACTATTAATTTTTTAATAATTGTATTTTAACTTTTACTCTTTGTCTCCAAACTGTTTATAATCTCTTTATTCAACTACGCTGATATAATCTACATACCGGCATTGTTTCAGCGTATCTCCGCTTTTCGTATAATGTCCACAAATACAATCACATTTCTCCATTTTTTCTGCGTTTCAGTTGGCTAAAAATCTGTCAGCGTTTTACGCTTCACTTCGATAATCGAGTTATTGAAGAAGTTTATTCTATATGAATTAAAAATTGTCCATGAAAAATTGTGTTATAGTCAAAGTGAAGGATTTATTAAACGTACAAACCAAGATGTCGAAAACATCTTCAGTACTTGGCTTCAAACACATAAAACAATGGGATGACGGTTTGCGCTTTGTACAATTTAAAAATAGAGCCTATCACGAAGATATAAAATGTTGTTTGTATGAAGTTATGCTCGACCAACCAGGGCTTAAAAGTTCCAATTCGCTCGGAGAAATCATACAGTCTATAAAATCTGAAGAAGATTTAGAAGAAATATTACGTTTAAATGTATCTCAAGATAGTAAAAATGAAAAAGATTAAAATAAAACGGAAGGCCAAATAAACCATAACAGTGATACAGAAGATAATGACAATGAACAGAATAAAGAAGATGAAAATAAAACGTAAGATGAAGAAAATTATAACAGTGATGCAGAAGATAATAAACAGAACGAAGAAGATAAAAATAAAAATAGAAGAAAAGATAAAGAAGCTAATGATTATTTAGAAGTTACAAATTGTAGAAAATAGAACTAAAGTTCTTAACACTCAAAAAAAGAAATTTAATTTACAAATTCAAGTGAGAAAATGAAAAAGATTCTGCAAAATTATCGATGTTGATAGGGATAGAAATGATAAAAAACAATGCTAGCGATGATATCTAGAAGTAATGATTTTTATGAGTTAGGAATAGAATACGGTGTGTTATAAAAGTTCTATATATGAATTTTTTATATGTAGAGAATCGTTTATTAACTGAGGTTTCAACAAATTTGCGAAAATGCGAAAAAATTTTCTCTATTTGAAGTTCAAGGATTTAAGAGGTGTAATTGTAAAGGAAAATGCTCGTTTGATAAGTGTAGCTGTAGGCGTTAAGAAGAAAAGCAATGTAATTCAAAATGTCATGATAGTTCATCTTGTTTGAATAAGTAATTGGTTTATTTCTCTCTGGCTTGGTTTTTCATTATCTGATTAACTTGTGGTTAAGCTTAACTTGATATTTTACCCATTGATCTTCATCCATGACATTCTAGATAACATGCATTTGCATAAGATATCTAAATCTATCTAGGCGTCTTTTAGACATCTTTTAGATCTTATGCATCATAAATGTTATCTGGGATTATAACAGATGAAGCCCATTAGATGAAACATCAAGCCTAATCACAAGTTAATCAGATTGAGTATTGGTATTTTTATTTAATCTTT